CGCCGTGCTCGTCGCCGTGCTCGTCGCCGTGCTCGTCGCCGTGCTGGCCGCCGTGCTCGTCGCGGTGCTGGCCGCCGTGCGGGTGGCGCTAGCCGCCGTCGGCCCCGGGGAAGACCTGCTCGCCGATGACGCTCTCCCACGGGCCGCCGCGGTGCTCGTCCTGGTCGCCGGCCGCCCGGAACTTGCTGCCGAAGCGCACGTGCCTGTTCATGAGCAGCGCGTTCCACAGCTCGGCGTCCTCGCCGTTGGCGGCCACGTCGGGCCGCTCCTGGCCCGCGAGCGCCGCCGCGCCCTCGGCCGCCACGCTCACCTCGCCCGCCGCCACCCGGCTGCCGTAGTGGTAGGGGAAGTCCTCGAAGTGCCACTCGGGCGCCCTGGACGTGTCGTACTCGTACTCCACGCAGCGGCCGTCGCCGCCCGCCCTGCGGCCGGTCCTGGACGGAGGGCAGGGCGTTAACGGAGGGTACTTATCTCATTTTAGCAGCGGGGTGCTGTTCAGACAGTCCCCAAGACCGTCTCTACCGGAAGGAAACATGCCGCCCTTTTCAGTCTCTACTTTTTTCGAGAAATAAATGGAAAAATCCAAAATATTTGCAGAAAATTTCACTTCGCAGGAAGCATTCGAATTGAAAAAATTCTTGAACAATTTCCCAAAAATACTTGACCGCGGAAAATTAAAATCCCTGAACTCGATTCGAATACCGTGAGAAAAGTACCCCTTGCTTACTTGTCTCGTCGGCGACAGCCCAGCACCGGGTAGTCGTACGTGAAGCACACGGGCTCCAGGAAGTCGAAGTACAGGCGGCCCACCTCGCGCGCGATCACCGACCCGTCCTCGCGCAGGCACTGCAGGAACTTGTGGTCGCAGGCGCACAGCGCGGACGACGAGTGGTGGTCGTTGAACAGACCGTGCTTGGTCTCGTGCCGCGCGATGAAGTCCGGGCAGTGGTCGTGGTCCCGGCAGCAGCGGTCCGGCCCGGCGAACACGCCCAGCTCGTCGAAGGACGCGGCGTTGGAGCCCTGGCCGCACCACAGCGTCCCTGTGTTGTGGACAAGCAGACGAACGTCATTTTCGACGGGTGGGGTGTTTTTATTACGGCGCCACATTTGAACTCAGCGTTGCCAACGGAAGTGTTTGGGAGGCCATGATAATTGTATCCCCGTAGATAATTTTTTTTCGGGTGGGGTAACTTTATCATAGCGTCTAAAAAGCTTCCGCTCCGATCCCTGAACTCGAATGGAGGTCCGTGAAAAAAGTACCCTACACCTGAAAATTTCGTATTTAGTGCGCGGTCCCTAAACCAACCCGCCGCGACCGACCGCGGACCGTCCTGTCGAACGCCATCAGAAGAGGGAGCTTACCTGGGAAGATGGCCCGCGAGGCCTCCTCCGACCCGGACCGGCTCATGTTGGAGTACATGTCGAAGGACTTGTCCAGGACGGCGCTCCAGCCGTTGCCGGCGGTCGCCCCCGCCGTCGTCGCGCCCGCCGTCGGGCTGTCCGTGACCCTGGCCGACAGGTTGAGCAGCGACAGCGCCAGCGCCTTGGCCGCGAGGAAGGTCGACGCCAGCGGCATCGTCAGGCTGAGCCCAGTCCGCCGACTACTAACAGCTCAGCTCGACGGCGTCCCGCCCGTTCGCACCTGCAGCGAGCAGTGCTGCGCCAGTGCAGCGTCGGGAGAACGGCCGAAACGATGACGAGGACAACAGTGGAAATGGGCCAATGTGCCATGTGCCTCGGCGAGGAGGGAGGGGACACGACGAACTGGCGGAGTGTACCATTGAACCATTACAATTTATTTATTTAATTTTTTTACAATCACCTGCTCACAAAATACGCATCATTGTACTTTCATTCCAGTCTTCGCAAAATTTTTACAAACTGTGAAAAATTGTGCGCCAAACAAAATAAGGCCGTACCTTCTTTACTTAATTCTAGTAAATCTGGCAAAAATTATACACGATCAAAGCAAATGCCAATCTTTGATATGATCACAATCATTTACACAACCAGCGCCGAGATTTTTACATAGCAAAAACCAAGGGCCCTAATTTAAACTGTCTTATCATAGAGCACAGTGCTTTAGATCTGGGCAACTATGGAGTGAATTCTTCCTTTAATCTCAATTTGTGGATTGCATTGCATTTTATTGCAAACAAAGATCTTATGATTGACTAAAATCTTGAAAACAGTCAAAAAATCACGAAAACGGAAGCAGTCAAAACTGTCTTTGAAAATATGTTTTTGACAGATTTAGGTTTGTAGTAACCACCTGAACAGAATTCAAACTAAAACTTTTCAGCTGCTGGTCACCAGATCAATATTCCATTTATGGTAATACTTTTCTGTACTAATATACAGACACAAGAAAAAAATAATTACATCAGCATGATTCAGTCACATACTCAGTATTTAATTCCAGTCTGTATCAAGAAAGCCTCCGGTCACACTACACATATTTTATGGAATCAAGAATCTAGATTCAAATCTAAGAGAGCTGCCTTTGGCTACCTTCCTTATTTGCGATCACAACAAAAGTTTTGATTTGAATTAAGTTTCACAAGTATAAAAAATCACATTGTGTGAAAATACACAAATACTTTAGGAGGAATAATCCTAATCCTACATTCAGTAATGAAATGCAAATTTGGAATAATATAATACGAAGGAACCAGTGTATTATCATATTTATCTTTCACACACCAAGCGCACATTTGTAAAGAAATTTATTGACAATGCATAGCTGTAGCTGTAGAGGGTGGCCCGCAACCCACTCTACTTCAGCTGGGCACAGGCAAGGGGGAAGTGGGGAGTAGCCCCACCACACCTCTTGCCCTCGCTCAGCTGAAATAGAATATGTTGCATACTTACAGAAACAGTGGCCCAAACGGGCCACCCTGTATAACATTTCACAAGATACTACATTTTACTCAAATGGGTGTCCTGTACTGCAATAAATTATGGAAAGCTATATTTTTAGACAGTCCCCAAAACTGTTTAAATATAATGCAGAGCTGGAAATATATGTCCAACAGTTCACCAAAGCAACTGCAACTCATTTGCTCATTTTCAATAAGCTGAGAATGAGAACAGAATAGAAGTGTACAGTGTGTATTCAGACTTGAAACGCAGATTTGAAAATAAAGTAAAGATGAGAACAGAAAAATCACTGGGAGACATACAAGACTTAGATGTATAGGCATAATTATCTACTATAAAAAAGGAGGAAAGGATGATGTTTTCATATCACACTGAAACGAGAATCAAATCAAACTAATTTCTTCCATTCATAAAAAGATACAAAATTATCTTCAAATACACTACTGGTAAAATAGAAGCCTGTCTATCACTGTACCCTAGGCCAACTGTTTAAATTCTTATACTGGTTCTAGCACTGGTAGGATAATTTAAAGACACAATTTCAAGTAGAAATTCAGAAATACTTCATGAGAAATAGATTTAAAATTAATTTGGTGGTTCATCAACCACTGTAATAGCTCATTAGACCCGAGTACTGAGGTATAGGTCAAACAGAGTAAAAATCTCCACAATGATAGAAATAATCACCTCAAAATCAACTTAGAGATTAGACAATATTTTCAGAAATAAGCATATTTACAGAACTCTTTAAAATTTCATTTGGCACTTGCCTCACACAGCTAATACTTCCCAGACGCACACAGGAAAATCATTCAAATAATTAATCAGACTTGTCAATCTTTACCAAGACATTAAAATCTCAAACCTATGAAAATTTGATACAAGAGGCAGCAAACTTGGATAAAATGTTTTCAAAATACACCTCAAGATAGACTTCCAAAGTGCACCTTGAGGCCCTTTAAAATATCAATCGCACTAAATTGCTATCAACCGCCAATAATGTTTTTCATTTATGGCCCATAAATAAATTACAAATGACACAATCAGAATAAATACATTGTCTTAGAACAGACGATCACTTCATCAGCTGTATTAGATGGAAAATTACTTTCACATCAAGAGGCAATGTTATACTAACTTTGAAAACACGCACAGCCCCTTACGTTGATATGCACACAAGCAGTGTTTGTCTTGTTATAGTATATACCACCACTCCTTACTAATAGATTACCTCACATTGATTCAGAGTAAAATTAATTGCATTTTCTATCATATTTTTCCTACTACAGTTCTCTCCATGTTTAAAATAAGGATAACTGAGAGGATTCTGAAATAAATCTCCCCCCAGTCCTATACGAGCTTCAGATAATCTGTAACCTCACCAAGGTGTACAGAAATTGAATTCAACACATCAAGCATTGAAGCAAAGTCTAATTCCTTGCCTATTTACCACATCTGTGGTTGACTTGTTGCTGGATCTTACTTTCACAGCAAATATCAAAATTTAATTCAGGCTAAAAATCTATGACTGAATTGCTTTGAATATTTGTCCCCAAGGATCAATATTTAATAATAATGAATGAGTGAATGAATGATACTTATGTAAGCTAACTATCTTCATTGCCATCTTCCACCTCTTTATCAATAAATTCAACATGAGTAAAAGGAAAGTGGCCCTTTTTTCCATTTAATTCTCCCTCCCATTGACCATTAATGTTCATTTTAGTAACCTTAATAGTGTCTCCAACTTCCAACTTCAAGGCTGTTCGGTCATATGCATTTGGAACTCGTGCCTGCTTCACACGGGCAAAGGCAGGAAGTTTTCGCTGAAACAAAATACCAAATAGGTTTTAAATTTAAACAGAATGAATCTTGTCTTTAAGATCACCTCAAAATTCATATACATGAATGTCATAACACTCAATAACCGAAGAATAAGTGTCAGTAATCCACTCTTATCAAAAGTTGAGAGGAAGACTATGTCAAAGTAAATTTCTCACCTGAATGTTGGTTCTTTTTATTGTGGTTTCTTGCTGAACAGGGATAGGATTGCCTCCCCCAGATCCTGGTCTCTGACCATCACCCAACTGATTTTCTTCATACTAAGAAAGAAAGAAAGAAAGAAAGAAAGAATGAACAAAAAAGAAATAAATAAGATTATCTAAGAAAAAAATATTTTCAATAAGCCTAAACACATTAATGTACCGGTATGTATTTTGAATTTTGTGCACTAGTATAGGTAAAGAGGAAAGAAAATATGTTTATCTTCCGAGTTATCTACCTTTTGAACATATGGCACTGGGATGGACCCTATCTGGCCCACACTATTTCTTGCTGTCCACCACTGATCTTCATCCTTTTGAACTATTGTCAAGACTTCTCCTTTACTAAATGGAAGATCATCTGGATCCTATGAATAGGAAAACAAAAATTACTGGAATTGTAAAGTTAATTGAAAACTCATTATGAGACTAGTATACTTACACTGCCTTCAAAGTCATATTTTGCCATGACTTTTTCAATTCGCCGAGGAGCTGGTCTTATTAAAGGTGTGGTGTCCAGGTAATGGAGTTTGTAGAATGATAACAGACTGGGAAGATCTGGAAATGTTTGGTCTCCGATGCGGTACCTTGTTTGATCTCCTTGTTGCAATTTGTTAATAATGTAATGGCTGACCTTACTGTCTTCCCTGAAACATAAAACATGTTTGTGAGACTTAGTTAACTGTGTTCGACCTCAGTCTGACTACATTCAGACAACCTACCGTACACACAAAACAAAGTCTCCATGGATAGAATTACTATCTCTAACAAGAAAAACTCCTCCCTCTCTTTCTCCCATCAAGAGGTCCGTGGCATCTTGACGTGACATCTGGCCAAAATACCAACTGCAATCCAAACAAAACGAAGAAAGATTAAGTATTTTATGTGATGATTAATTGTGCTGTTGCAGAACATTAACATACCTATCTCTGTCATACGGCTCAAACGTAGCAGCCATTGTAAATCAAATTTGTTACACTATTTTCCAGGATGAGTCTGTCTTGAGGTGCAGTAAAATAAATGATGTAACAGGCACCATTAATAACAGCATGAAAACATGCTTCTATTTTTTTAAGAGACCATTTTTCTTCATAAGTCCCAGGAAATGCTTCGAAAAACAGAACTTTGTCACAATACCATTATAAGGTACACATAACCAAACCACCTGCAATGAAAGGGAGGATTGCCTTCATTTAGTGATGAAAGAAACTAACGTTTGCTTCACAATGCATTAATTAGAAGTGTTTATTCGGATGCAAGACTAAAGGTGTTTATTTTCAGAAAATCTTTCTCAAATGGCCAAATGTTTACACGTACACTTCACTAATGAGAGCCTCAATAGAGTGTCAATGACGGGGTGCCTCTTCAGTCAGACGAAGTACGTAAGAGAGAGACGTGCAGAGGGACGTTGAGTTTTACAACAACGATACACTTTACATGCAATGACAACGGTGCAGCTGCATTGAAAACACCATGATTCTGAGTTATTTTGAGGTGAAAATACAAAGTTTACTTCTGAAAGTGATCAGATCACTGCTTTCCCCACCCCACTTCGCACCCGCAGCTTCCTGTGTTGTGTGATTCCAGAATGCAGCTTATTTTCACCGGAATGAGAAATCGAGCAGAAGGTTCATAGTTTGGAGCGGCTTACAACATTTCTGACATTTGTGTAAGAGAAATGACAGCACTTGAGAATCAATTTATAAAGTCATAAAGTACCAATATAAGTATATTTAATCGATTCCTCTCTATTGTTAAGGAATAGTTTCCGATTTCTCTCGTAACTGTGTGTCGTGCGATTTTTCGTTCAATAGGGTAAGTCACATAGGAAAAATTCGGCTACCGGCCTTCTTCAACTGGTGTACCGTTTAATATTTTTTAAATCCACTTTCACCATTCTTTTTATTTATAGAATCTCGTATTTTTGCGTCGATTGGCCTTTTTTTCTAAAATCGCTAATATCTTAGAAGTTGTTAGTGAAACTTCTGCTGCTTCTGCTTTACTTCAGTTTCCTGACTTGGATGGAATCTTTAAAAAAATATTCCAATTATTCCTTAGTTCTGCAAGTAAACAGTACCGCTAGAAGTCTTTGATGCTGGCATTTCAATCAATGTTATGTTCGCAAGTTGCGTTCGCACCGATAACTACGTATTTTCCATTTCACTTCGGTCGTTTGCAGGTTTCCAGCAGTGGCAGTGGGGTAATCGTCTAACATGGCGTCAAGTAGGAAGAGCTTGTCCGATTTTTTCGGACTTTCTTGGTCTACTTGGTCAGAATATACAGAGGATTTCTCCCATTCAGGTTGGTTTGAACACCAAATCTTTGGTGGTTCGAATTCAATCTTTCGGAGGTGCACAGTTTACAGTGGAAATGCCCTCGAAAGTCACGTTTGCTCATGTGCCATTTGGTGACAAGCTCAATGAACCGCAATAATCATTGTTACCAACACATTTCCTTCCATTTTAATATCAAATGTCACAGTTAAATTAATATCTAACCATGTCACTTAAAGTCTTGTCCAGAGCATTCCCATCAATTGGGCTCGTTAAGATGTTTCTGCTTCTCCTGAAATGCAGTTTCACTCCAGTCATGAAAATGTAAACATTTTAACCCCTAATGTTTGTAAATGCTATATCTTCTTATTTTACCATATCTTTATTATTTTAAATGCTTCCACTCTAAACAATTACCCTTCTTTTGGCTTGAACCATTACATGAATACCCGTCATTCTGTTTAAGCCTGTTGAGTAATTCCCACAGACTAGTCAACTTAGGTTCTCTTCTTGTTCCTCCCCACCCTACATAATGTTTTGAAAACCGTGCTATGTACTTACCTCAACTTAATGTACATTTCTAGATGGAGATGGAGAAGAGAAAAATGAAGGACGTAGGAAAAGCTCTGACGCCATGCGGCTCTACTCTTCAGGTAAACACACACACCAAAGAAAAATAAACGGAAGAATTACAAAAATGTAACTTTGACAACCACACTGTGTATGTAGTTTTGTTCAGTAAACATTATGTTCACAATATATCTTACATCATGGATTCACATTACCAGTCGTGTGCTTGGTTTCCTCTCTTTGACCATGATGTTTGATATTTTATGTGTCTTGATTTGCTGCATATGTTTGTGAAATTTACTGATTCGACTCAAACTTAGCAATCAAGATGGAACTTAAAATTACTTAGTACATGTCAGAATTGGTTTTGGAATCACCCAGTGAAGTTGTAGGTTGTTTAAGGTACTTTAGTACAAATTCTCTTAGTTCTAGATCTAAGTCATCTATTTTTTATTTACAGACATGCAGAAATTTGGCTTATTCCCAGAAACAGATTGTTTTTGCACTGTGGTATGCAGTGAATGCAGTGCTTTGGTTAAACCACAGGGTCTACTTAATCACATGCGTAAGCTAATGCTGTTTTGCCTCTTGCCGATGTCATATGTTACTCTATTACTTATTCATCCCAACTGTCAAAAACATTTAAATGTTCACAGGATTACGACACAAAGAATTGGTACCAGAAAGGATCTCACCTGAGAAGTTAAACAAGCTGTCTGAAAGCCCATCAATCAAGGGCATTGGAGACAAAACTTCAGCCAAGCATGTCCTTAATGAAAAGCTAATGACCAAACTCATATTGAATGAAAAGCATTCAAATAAGACATCTAATGAAAAGTTGCCAAATTCCCCAAGTGAAAAGCTTAGTAGTAAATACTCAAGTAGTGAAAAGACATCACAAAAAAGCGGTGAAAAGTTCCTTGGAAAGTCTATGGGCGATAAGCCCCCACGAACTATAAATGAAAAAGTGAAAGTGCCACCTGAGAAAAGTGCTGCTGGTGCATCATTACTTCTTGATAAACCTGTAGTTAAAAATGAATCTGATAAGTTTTCAAAAGTTGTGCCTGATAGTTATTCAAAACAGGCAGATACTATATCTTCTAAAAAACTTGGTGATAAGCAGCCCTCTAAACCTATTTCTAATGAAAAGGTGTATGCTTCTCCTGAAAACAAGGCCTTTGCTACTGATCGTCACTTGTCAAGATCAGGTGAAAAAATCAGTGTTAAATCTGTTCTTAGTGAAAAACTATTATCTAAAGTCGCTGCTAGTGAAAAAGCTGCTGCCTTGCAAGACAAAATCAAAAGCGTTGAGCTAGCTATATCTGACATTAATTCTAAAAAGGGTGACAGTATACTGAAACCTGATATGAGAGTGGCAGCTAAACCTGTAATGAAAAGTCTGCTCAAACGTAGCAATGATGTAACTCCAAGTGTAGTTCCAGGAGCAAGTCTGCTTAGGCCTCTCATTCATCAAGAAAGAGACCCTGTGCCTGCTGCTCCTATTATAGGCAGTACCACACTCTCTCCTCCAGTTTTAACTCCAGAGAATTTAACACCGGAACGCCATCAGTCTGCTACAGATATGCCTGTGTTATCTCGCAAAAGGAAATTTAGAGAAAGAAAAGCTGCTCCCACACAGTATGATCCTGATCGTCATTGTGGAGTATGGTGTGATTATTTTAATAAATTTTGTGTGAGATCTCTTACGTGCAAAGTACATTCTGTGGCTTTAAGAAGGGCTGTGGTTGGAAGGAGCAAACCATTTGACCAACTTTTAAGTGAACACAAGCGAGCTAAGGAAGATCAACGCCAATCTAGGGAAGATCAGGTAATTTCCTGCCGTATCAGTTGTTTCCGAAAATCTTTCAATTTGAATACATGTCTACCCTTAATCTATTTTCAGGATGATTTTTCGATGAGCCCCCAAATTTCAGAACGTCTTCACAGCCCCAGTGATCCTAGCAATAGTTCCTTTGTGAGTAGTCCTTACGCCAGTCCAGCATCAAGTCAAGCCACGAGCCCTCTGGAGAATGTCTTCCATAACACCCAAGATGAAGTAGTCGCTCTGTGCACTCCCTCAACTTCAACAAGTCCACCAATTCCTCTCCCCTCTTATCAGTATCCACCATATCCCCCTCCTGATTCTGCTTTTTCTGCTGCTCCTGAAAGTATGGTTACACTATCTCCTCATTTGAGCTCACCTCTGCTGAATGTAGCTCTACCAAGCCTTAGTCCAAGTCATACCCCTCGCCCGCCAGACAATACAGATGAAGACTGCTCCAAAGCCCCCCGAAATAATGCCCGTGCAGTGAATCGCTTACAACTCAATAAAGGAAAACAGTTCAATGTTAAACATTCAGCGTTTCCACCCAAACCTTTACGGGTAAGATATCAAATATTTTCCTCAATTCTGAATGTTTTTACAAATACTTTACCTCTGTATCTATGTCTTCATTTCAGACCTGCCTATTTCAAGGTCGCAAGAGCTCTGGCATGTTTTTTGTCCAGCGCGAGTTAGAGTCAATGCGAGCTGGGTTTCGGTTGTCATTGGTTAAAGGTGCAAAGTCTGCACCAATGAGTCATGTCTCCAGTGTTTCCCAGTCACACTCAGACTCAACTTCATCACACTCATCAATGTCTACCTTAAATGACCCATCTCTTCAGAGCTCTGGAATCAACACATCATCTTCAGCATCAAACCTGAAGTCTGTTTTTACAAATTTGTGTTCACCTAAGAGTGTTCTTAATAGAGAAAGCCAACAAAGACTTCAAAGAAATCAGAAGTCTGGGAACAGTGCCACAGAGATTGCTCCCCAGGCAATGACTGCCGATGGGTCATTGGCAATTGGGAGTGAAAAAAGTAATTTTTATTTCCGTCTTGTATTATATTTGTTACACTATTTTGAATCTTTTAGTAAGAATATGTGTATGTTGGCTTGCTATTCTAACATTTTTGCTTTGTCGTTTTTCACCCAGTACCACAGGGAATGAGGATATCCGTTCCTACTACAATGCCGCAGCAAATAACTTATTTAACTACTTCTACACCTGTCACTTTTCAACAAGTTCCTTTAATAAATTCCCAGGTAACTTTTTTACTGAGATGAATGATTGTGTTTGATTACGTACACATGTTTTGCTCATAGAATTTCTGCATTCTCAGGTATTGAGCCAACTACAGCTGCAAAAGGGTGGAGGTGGAACCTTAAAACTTTTGAGTACTGGTGGGGGTGGACGCACATTATTCGTTCATCAATACCAAGATGGATCAGGAGCGGAATCCTGACACAGGCCGACTCCTGCTTGTGTACCGACTCATTTGCCGCATTCTTCCTCCATATCTGGACGGAGGCGCAGACAGCGGAAGTATCAAGGCATCACATTTGTTCACTGATCTTAAATCCGTTTGGGGTCATATAACCCAGCTTTTTATGATTTGGGATTTACAGTGATTTTCTTTGCATTTTTAAATTATTTTTTTCATTTGTACATGATTGTGAAGAGCCACTAATTCGTGTTCTATTGGGTTACTTGGGCTGCTTTCTTGTATTTTTGTACTGGTTTCTCTTTTGAGCTCATTGGTTTACGATATGACCAATCCATGGTCTGATTTGCTTTTAAAGTAGTAAATCAGGTTTAAAATATTTCTGCGGAAAGAAGAAATTAAATTTGGTGAAGGGAATTATTTTTGATTGATGAATATCAGCTGACTTTACTGTTTGCTGTTACTAAATCTTTTCCCAAATATCTAGAGAAAAAATTAAATGTAGTAATTTAACACATTGTTAGGTAATGCCTTGGTGTCTTTACTGTGTCTGTGCTTGTGTTCTAAATGTTACAATTTAAGTGTTTTGCTGCTATGAAATTATTTGTTAATCTATTTATTCAGTATAGCTCTAAATCACAAGAGGTGTGTAAATGTGTTAAGTCTCTGTCATCTTCTTTTAAAAAGTGGATTGATTTACATACCGTGTACCTGCAAGATTTCCTTAGATCATTAAGGATCCCTATTTATGTCCACACCAGTATTCTTAAATATTTCTGTTCTGTTTCTTTTTGTTGTCTCTGATTTTCATAGAAATCCTTTATTCACTGCCTACTCTTTGCTGTTCTGCAGATTGTTACGAATTGAATCTACCTAGTGTTGTAAGTTACACAAAGGAACAGTGTCACTCAAATGTTTCACATCATTGTCTTTGAAATTCATTCATCATTCTAAATTATTTGTTTGGAACAGGAAGTGTTGTGTCTGATCTATGCCTTCAAGGTCTAGGTAAATTGTTACTAATCATCTGTATCCTTACTTAATTTTTCCCAACCACCTGTTTTCCTTCTGGTGGTGTCTCAGCACTTTTGTGACAATTTGCTCATTCTGTTCAATGTTGTTAACCCCATAGTATATCAGTAATTTTGATATGGTTGTGAGCCTCTCTTTGTCATTAATGTATGTGTAAATTATTAGGTTGTTGCTGAACCCCATTATATACTTGTGTAAGCTGGAGAAGTTTTTTGTTCAGTATGTGATAAGTCACTCTTCTAGTAGCTGTGATTAATATTTTTGTATTTCTCATATTGAGAATCAAAATTCTAACTCCTCAAAGCAGCTAGTCAGAGGTAAGAACTGAGGTGGGCCTTAGGGTATCTTTCCTTTCCTTCAGAACTTTCGCATCTTTATTTTACCTCTCTCAGGGTAAGGGTCAAGTTTTAAGTTTTCACCATGTTGCAATCATGGTTGAATCATCTGATTAAAGCCTGCTTTAATGTTTTTTCTTTTTCTTTTTTTGTGAAATTTAGAACTGGCTTGTATGTATGTCTCCATTGCTTGACTATTTTGGCTCAGTGAATGGAAAGAATTCTTCTACAAGTACTGTATAGGTATAGAATTGCAAGCAAATTTGAAAGTTTTAAGTTTTGAAGATTCAGTGCTTTACTCTCTTCACTGTTGCTGTATCTGTGATCCTCAATCAATGGATTGTATTGATAGAGAACTATGAGAATAGAAGAAAAGGAACATTAACTTATTTAAATGTTAGTCACAAGATGTTACATGTATTCAGGTTGACTGGTAGCATATGTTAGTCTTCATTCAATTGTTACTGTAACATAGGGTAAAATCTTGCTGTGCAAGTTTTCAATTTTTGATCACTACCTCATGTAACTGTGAGAGTAGTTCTCAATACTACTCTTGATTAAACATTTCTCAAGCATTAATCATTTGCTGTCACCAAACAATAATGACTGTTTGGGACCAAATCATAATGGGTAAAATTGTGGCAGGAAGCTATGTTAATAATTGTTGTTGGAATTCTTCTACAAATATTTTTTAATGTTCAAAGAAAATAAAATAATTTGGGTAAAATTTCAGGTTTAAAATTGTTTAACACATGCTTTCAAAACACAAACATCCCCATTCCTACTTTCCCTTTCCTCTTCGTCTTTTGGGGGAAGGCGTTGGAACCCTTGGTCGTAAAATTTTTTTTGAACTCTCAGATGAATTTACAGATTCAGAATTCACAGATGTGTCAGCTTGTAGAAACCTTTTTCTCAGATGTTCAGTTGCCCTTCTCCAGTTTAAATACATCATAAGCATTGGATCATCACTCCTGACATTCTTCCACTCATTCTTCATGCAGAATATTCTGTATGAATCGTTGCCATAGTCCCCAATACCATAAAGTTCATTTGGAAGTGTCCAATCTTTGGTGAGGTATTCATCTGAAAAGAAAAATTTATAGTGATAATTTCACAAAGCTAGATCTCCTAAATTAAATAATATGAGATTATAAATGGTTGCTCACGTGAAAATCTGAGGATTACTGCAGCACGAGTTCGCCCAAACCCTAGCGAATCAATTATATTTAAAATCTCCTCAACTTTTGCCTGGCAAGCAAGTTGAGGGGTAGGCCATCGCTTTAAGAATTCCATGGCCAATGGAATAGCAAGTCTACCTAGATAAAAAAGGGAAAAAAAAAAAAATCATACCTGCACATCAGGCAAGAGTAAATTTGGTGTTAGGGCAAGACAATACACAGGTAACTTACCACTTGTGGCATTCAAGAAAATTGTAGCTATTAACATTTGCCATGGATCATGAAACAGATCCTCTTGTATAAGATTATAGGGAGATCTAGGTGGCGCAACACAGTTTTTCCGTTCTCTCCTCAACCCAGCAAGGCTTTTTGACTGCACTAAGCCATTAAAACTGGATGTAAAGTAAGGACTTTTTCGAGGAGGTTTGGATCTAATCCTGACTCTTTCTTCAACAGGCTTTTCTTCCACTGCTTTATCTCCAACAGATTCTTCCTCTTCTACATCAGTAGCAACTTCTGGAACCAATGGAACTTTTTTGCGAGGTCTTCCCACTTTTTTCTTAGGAGGGGTGGCAAGACTTCCAGGCTTATCTTCTGTTTTTTCTTCGGTTACATAGGGGGATTTATCTCGGACTTGAGATTTGGCAGAGGGAGATAGGGGTTCCATTTTTGGAAAAGATATTTTAGTTGTATTTTTCTTAGAATCAACCATAAGGTTTTTGAAACTTTCCTTGGACTGTTTGGTCTCCTTCTTTGCTGCAGGACTTAGTACATCCTCATCCTCAGTTTTGATGGTTTGGTCTTGATTATTTTCCTTTCTCATAGGAGCTTTTTTAGGTAGGTGTGCAAGGACTTCTTGGTTAGAAGGTAGTATGACAGTGTTCTCATCTATCAATTGTTTCAAAAACAATCAAAATTAGTGCACAAAAACTGACAATACTACAAGTTAAGATGTACATGACAATAGGTGCAAAGCCACATTATAATTTAAATTGTTGTTAGATAACATAAACATACCATGATACTTCAAGATTCCTTTCTCTAGTAGAACCCTCATTTTATTTTTGTCAAAAAATTGCAATGGATCATAGTCTAGTCCTTTGGCAGTAAAATAAGCGACAAGCTCTTGACGTGACCTTATCTTTTTATGATACGGGCATGGTGGTCTGATAATTAACAAAATGAATAAAGAGTCTATTTACATTGTCTGAGAGAGAAACTGAAACATAAACAAGAATTCTGTATACTTACGTAATATAGTAGATGTCAAAGTGTTTATTGTTTGCAGGAGCAGAGCGTTTTTTGGCATAGAAGCTCCAACCCTCAGGCAGAAAAAATGAATCATCAATTTCCTAGGATAGTAGGGTTAAAAGAGAACATATTCAAATAAGTCAAGGGTATAAACAATAAGACTTACCAACTAATTTATAACTTTTTATAATTTATCTTTGATATTTACCATTCCTTTGGGTGTTCTGATATTGGGTGTTCTGAAATAGGGTTTCTTTGGGTTGGATTGTTTGGTCTCTCTTTCCTCTCTTGGAGTTAGATTGGTAATGCTCTTCTTATTCATTTTAGAAACATTATCTTCCAAGATTGTGTCCCTATCATCTTTCTCTGGGCTTGAATCAACCTCGTTGTACTGGACACACTGCAATTGACAGAAACAGATTACTTTATTGTACTATCAATTTGATAACAAAGAAAGCACTAATGATGCTGACCTTAGAGGGTGCCCTCAGACTTTTCCTTTTATCAACATCCTCATTCTCTTCACCAAAATTTTCAACCTAGAAAGAAGAATAATAAAATTGCAATTGGTAAACCAACAGTATTCCATTTTACTAATGGAGACGTAGACAGATATAAATACAATTTAAAATAAACCACCCCGGTTATGGAGCTCTGCTCTTTGGGGTTATAATTACGATAAATGAAAAATGTGTCCAATTACCTTTTTAAACGATCTGCCTCGTTTCTTCTGAAAGGGCAGTTTGGATTTCTGTTTGTCACTATTTAAAATTGACCCCTTTTCAGGCTAAATGAGAAAAGTTACTGTTATCATCTGAAGTACATAAATAAATACACAACACTGAAAAAAAAAAGATTTTTTAGATAACACACCCCAATAGAAGCTGGTCTTGGTTTCTTTTCAGGGGAGGGGCCATCTCTCAGACACGTTTGAATGACACTTGAATTATCTTCCTCAAAAACTGGCTGAAAAATTCAAATGAAAATTAATAAGTATTGCTAGAGTAAATTCTATTACATGTGAATACTTCCTTATAAAAATCTCTTTAGATATCATATGAAACATGATTCAACAAACATTAAGATGCATATACTTCTTTTCTGTACTGAACAACTCCAAGTCTACATGAACTCAATGAAGACTTTATCCCAGTTAATAGGAAATCATCTTCTAAAAACTTGTTCTATTTTCCATAAACTTTTTGTGTTTTTATTTATATATTCTATTTGCAATTCATGCTCTGTCAACCTCTATGTGACATCTCTTACCATCTCCACCACAGGGTCTTACCCCTTGAACCGTTTTATTGTAATAAATAAAATAAAATACTAACCAAAGATCTCCCTCTCTTTTTAGGAGGTGTCTGCCTTGTCTCCGTTATGCTGGCAACGTTTTCCTTGGTTACTGCGTGGTCCAGCACCTACATAGTATGAAAGTTACATTTGTTAGGAAATACAGTCTTTGCATTAACTACAAAAACATATTAGAATGACAACCTTCATTAAAAGTTCTCCTTGCTTCTTGCCTGGTGACAGTTCACTGTTCTCAATTATGTTAAAATTTTCCTCAGCTTCAGTGTGCTCCATCTCCTAAACAAAAACAATCAGTGAAGGAGTCATTTACTGTTCCATAGTAAAAGGATGAGATTGTATCAATCAAAATTATATTAGAGATTGAAGATTCTGTTGGTACCTCTCCCTGAAGCTGTTGAGTGATTGGTGAAGCATCTCTCTCGTTCATACTCATAATAGGCATCTCACTAGTCAACTCGGAGTCATTTTCAGTATCTTGTTCACACAGCACTGTAGGTACCTCCTAAAAAAAAATAGAAATAAAATTTTGACTCAAGTCGTGATCGTGTTCAGAATAGAAAACTTAAATAAAAAAAGAGATGAGGAAGGAATTCAAAACACTTACTTTGTTCTGCAACTCATCGACGTGTAGGGAAGTGGTCTTGCCATCGCTTGTTTTATCGAGGTTGCCATGCAATGTTCCGCCATCCTTGAGAATAAAAAGCATTCATGGAAGAATCATCTTAACACTATAGAGAGTTAATAATCAACCAATCACACAACACTTCCTTACCAGTCCCAGGAGATTTTCTTTGCTGTTCCCATCCACTGAAGACTTGGGTGCAGAGCTTTCCTTGTCTTCTAAAGAAGAGTTTAAAATAGAACTAATAGTGGCTTGCAATTTAATCTGTTCATCATCATCTTGGGGATCTTCAGAGGGAAATTGATCTTCCAGGCCCTCCATAATTCTTAAGATACACAAGAAGGTTTTGCAGGTTAGGCCAGAATCCAGTGGCGTTTACAGGCATCCAAACCCAAGTTATTTAGACAAAAAAGCGAACAGAAATCAATTGTAATAACAAACGTGAATGGGGAAACAAAAAGTTTTCAAGGGAAACTGCTGACACATACACAACTAAAAAGAAATCACGAAGATAAAGACCGGCTACCTGTTCGGCGCGCGCTTGCTTGTTGTTGTGGGTCTCAGGCAGGCAGTCAAGCCTCAGGATACTTTTTTGGCAGGGTACACTGCAGTGTTGCCAAACAAACTCAGAGAAGGAGAGGGAGAGCCAAAGCAGAAGGAGACATAAGAACCTAAACACAAGACTAGCATAAAATGGAATAAAGATAAAATAAAGAAATAGGAGGAATCACAAAGAAATAGATTTTCAAAAGGTAGAAGTTAAGATTTTAATGAATTTCTTAACGACAGGAGAATTAAAAACACCAACAAGACAAGCCTTTGAGTAATAGTTTATTGTACACTTACAACACAGGAGTTCACATTACACTTAATATTGAAAATTTATTATTGATGTCAAGGTTTTGCTCTGGCTCTTCGTCGGGGCCACCCACTTCATGATCTGATGTAGCGCTGTCACACCGTTTGTTATTTCGCTTGCTCTTTCTCTTTCCTTTTCTTAACAAAACTGGTATATTTGGTAAGAGAAACAGAAATTTATCCAATAAAGCCTTATAAATAAGATAAACTGAGGGGGAGTTAATCATTTGTGCTTTAATAAAACCGTTAACATCACTCCTTTTATTCAGGTTTGCAAAGGCTTGATAAGCCACTGTGCCTGAATAGGTTTCTGCTAATTGGCATTGAGGAACTGGATATCCCAAGATTGAATTGAGTGTCATCACTTGCAATAAACACGTTTGCAGCTGTGCAAATAAATGCACAATGAGAGGGGAAAAAAGACGAGGACTACCTTTTAACTTCCCATCCATTTTGTGAAATTGTAAGAGAAACTCTACAAGATTCAAACAATCACTTTCAGTCACCTTTGATATCATTTCTTTGTAATTATCACCTGTCTTATCTCCCAATTCATTACAAGAATCTAATTCAAGTTGAGCGTCACACTCAACAGGAGCTGTGAGCATTGAATTGCATTCTGTTCGTCCACTCTTTTGTGCATTCAATTTTAGAGCTTTATTCTGACTTCGAACACGGCCTATTTTCTTGTCTACAACACCTAAAGCTATCATTCCAATTATTATTGCATGTAAATGACAATTGGTGACATTTGGATATGTTGTAGACCGAGCCCAAAAAACTAGTGCCATAGCAAAGAGCCTCCACTTTTCCTCAAAGGACTTTATGGTAGCAATTTCCTCCTCAACATGAATTCCAAGGGTGTTGTACAATACTTGTTCTCTAACAGAAAGAGATATATCAAGAAGACATGACAAAGGTGGAAAGCATGGCAGACATGGGAGGGTTGAAAGTGGTTGGAGAAAAACTTTCTGATGTTTTAAGCCCAGGCTTCTTGAAAAACAAACAAATTTACGCTCTCTTTGAGGTGTTTCATGGTCTAGTTCCTTACTAAATAGGAGTCCACAAATTACATTTAATATGGGAAAACTTATAGTATGGGAGTCTGACACAGAGAAATCTTCTACTTGGGGTTGACAGAAATAAATATGCAGGTGATAAATGTCAGACACATATGAAGGAAGTTCACCTCTTCGAAACTTTTCTTTTAGCCAATTTGGAAAAGTTGAGCTGCTGCCTAGGTTGGGTTCATGACATTCAATTTCTTCTTCACCTTCTGAAGCAATAATTTCATCTGAGCTTTCATCACTGTCATCTTCTGCACTATCAGATTCTCCGGAAGAATCATCAGTATGAGAAGAGTCATCATTATTGAAAATATTTGCTGAACTATCTATGATATTGCTATCCATCTCTGGAACTTCCACAGAGAAGTAACTTAATAGCTCGCTTTGACTTCCACCATAACCGGATACTGAAAGCTCAATTTGTTTCTTCACATGAAAGCGATCCTTCTTTCTCAGGTGGCTCAATATCTGCAAAACGAGAGAAACAATTCAAAATAACAGTAGAATGCTTCTATTGCCAATACTTCACTGCAAAAAAAGAAATGTACCTTTGTCACAGCCGATTCAAATGTTTCTTTCCTCAACCATTCAAATATTGCTGCTATTCTCCTCTGTTGTTTGGATTTTGTTTTACTCTTTGACAACTTGACGTGGTTATAAAATTTCTTGAATTGTGACAGTGAAACATAATCATTTCCCAATAAAGTTGCCATTAATGGAAGAAGAGATTTATCAAGTCCACCAAAATTTGCGAGGAAATGGTCAACACTGTAAACTTCACAACCAAGGTAATATTTTACAGTACCATTGCACCTTGCCTTGGACAGTGTCAGATTTAGAGTTGAAAATGGAATATATTTAACATCAAAGACATAAAAGTCAGAATCATAACTCAAGACCGGACAATTCAAGGTTCTTGCAATTGCAGCAATTTCAAAATCTGCCTCAAAGTCAGCTTGTACAAACTGGACTCCCAAACTTCGCAGTGTTTGCTTGAAAACTTCCATCATGAACAAGGGAAAAACTGTTGCTGCTGACTGATTAACTGGATTGCAAGATTTAGCATTGTGCAACTTATTTTTCATCCGCTGCGATACTGTTTTCAATTTTCGTGCCTCATAACCACCATCAATGACTACTAAAGGAGTAACATTACACTTATTTAAGAGTGAAAAAAAGTCCTGAATAGTCTGAGCATATTTGTCATAGTCTCCTCCAAAAGCACTGTTACAATCAGAAACATTAATGTACAGCTGACAAGCAAGACTGCAGCCATCCACAACTAAAATGCAATCTTGAAGTCGATGAACCAGATGGAACCGATGAGCATTTTGGGAGATATAACTGGTCAATCCCCTAATCCCCATTTCTGGGGGAAAAAAAGGCAAACATGTAATCCACCTGCTAGACTGAAAGTACACTGAGATAATAACAAACCTTCAAGTTAATTATTCAAAGTACCTGAGAAATGTCACTTAAAGAAAAAACAAATTTAAAGAGAAGGAAATTGAAATTACACGTTCAAATGCATTTCAGCATAGGTGTTTAACTCAAAACTCAATTCTTTGTTGATTGATTGAGTTCCAGCAGACATGTATCCCAGCATGAAGAAAATGGAAATCATAACCTAGAAAAAATGATTACAGACTGGCCAACATGTGTTTTTTTCCATTTCACAAAACTTACGCAAATTACTAGCAAAAAATTAGTTTTTTTCAAAATTTTACAAAATAAATCTTAGTATTAAAGAATTTATAATCATCTGAATCATATTTCATATTGTATAACTGATAAAACGGAATCCAATTGAATTTAATGTGTTGGACAAGTGTGAAACTTACAACCTGACGTTCTGGTGGACACCCACCACAAAGCAGGCCGTGGAGTTTTAGATCGAATCTTGGGAACAAGAACACACAATATTTGATACTTTTTTACGAGATGGGTGAAATTTCTCAACGGCCGTGTATTCAGAAGCAGTTTATAGTAAGTTACCAATTGCGAATTAGATTTCTTGAGTAGAGGTTTGTTTTTATGTGGGTTCGACGGAGTGAACGGTAAAGTGCTATTGTGCCCCTAGCCTAACTAATGACGACCAAAGCAATCAGCTGTGACTCATTTTAGGAAGGTCAGGCTGATGTGTTCATGTTTATGTGTTGAATGAAGTTTCTACTTCTCCATAACTTTCATATTATGTATGCATTGATGTTGTCAATTTGCTGTCTTAAGTGGCTATTCGCTTCACACCTAGTTGGTTAATTTGATTTCAGTGTCCAACTCCTTTCCTAGGCAATGTACTTTAAGCCTTGTTACTTTTCGCTTAAAACTTCTTGCCAATTTTCTTGGTTTGGGTCAATTCATGTCAGGTGGTTCCCTAACTGTGTCATAACACTCACAGTTTGCATCTGAAAGTTTGTTTTTCTTCTTTAGCTTGTAGAAAAGTTGTTTGTCACTTTATTTATTTGAAAATTTCTACTAATTTTAAAGACACTTTTTTCCCTAGCTATTTAATCAAAAGTAACAATAACAATTGGATAAATTGCCTTACTTTACACAAAGTTGTAACTAATCATTGTTTTGTTTTTTTGTTTTCCTTACAGAATAGTAGAAAGGCGAAACCCTACTCTTAGGAATCTTGCTTTGATTCCCTAGGACGAGTGATTTCTCTAGTCTTTCTCTTTCACTCATACTCTCTCTTAATTTCTGTGTTAACTTCTTTTACTTTCTTGCTCTAAATCAATTTAACTTTGCATATCAAATTGTATATGCTACATAAAAAAAAATCTATCTACCCGAACTTTTTCTCTTGTCTGAATATTTTCCAATCCAATCCAAAAGAAAATGGATTCAACTGACTCAGACCATTCAATATCTCAGAGCATTTCAATCCCTCAGTGGATGAGGTCAAGAAACCATGAAGGGTGAGGTTTTATTTTATTTCAATTCTGATACATTAATACCATAGTTACTCAATTATAAGCCACATCTTTTTGCCGATTGTCTCTGATATAAAACAAGGGTGTGGCTTGTAATCAAGAAACTTTTTTACGAGAGTCTTTTGGTACCCTTCCCTCGATTTCCCCCCTAAATTTGCAGTGTGGCTTATATTGGAGCCAATACAGTATTACAGTATTGATTTTGTAGACATGTGATAAAAATGAGCTGTACAACTGAGGGAAGGGATGGAAGGGGTTGACCAAGGAACAGACCCTTCAACCGCTGTTCTCTGAAAGCATCAAGTTTGTTTTTATTTATTTTTTCTTCAGATTTGATACTGAGATAAGCACTCTCTCACCACCAAATCAGGATGACTCATTTTTCTACATACCATATTCCAAATTAACAAAGACTACTGCAACTTCTGCTGGTCCTTCAGTTAGTGCAGCAGCTGACCAAGTGTCTCTTGGCAACATCTCAGATGCTGGGGGCTCTGCATCTAATCCACTTATTAGCAAGCACACTCAACCCTGCCTAAAATTTTTAGGAGAGGGAAAAAGTATGGGTAAGTGTTATTTGCAGCAAGATGTTAAAGTTTTGTTTTGCCCTAAATCTAAATATGCATCTTAAACACTTGCAGATGTAACTGGTTTCAACAAGAATGAAATCAAAAATGGGCCTAAGCCGATTAAATCTTTTGGGACAGATGATGGATTTAAAAGTGAGGCTGCTCAATGTGGACACTCGGTGGTCCAGGTGAGTACAACCTTAAATTTCTGTGACTTGTCTTTAATTCCTTGTGTTGTTCTAAATTGTGTCCTAATCAATGTCTATCTATGTGATTTTAGGTAGCCCAGCAAATGATAGCTGACCGCTTCATTGGACGTCCTACCAAACTATCCACCGAAAAAAGTGACCGGGATCAATTTGGTGAATCTGAGATCCCGTACTTGAAACAACGTGTTCGACGAGGAAGTAAATCATTGCCTGCAAGTCCATTATCAACACCAGATTCAACTCCTCAAATCCATAGAAAAAATAGGTTAGTAATATTTTTTATACCCCTGTCATGTATTGATTGTATTTATTTTTATTCTTTTTTCTAATATAACATTTTACTTTCCCTCAGGTATTTTACAGGGGCATTTGTTGAGTCCTCTGAAGAGTCTTCCAAATTTACCGGTGGTTGGTTAGTGGCTGGTTTGTTGGGAGTACATCGAGAAACCCTAAGTGAGAGCCAATCAGATCTGGCTGACACCAACAATAATGCCAGCCTTCAAAGCAAGCAGGTAAATCAAAACTTCAAATTCTTACATTTTAACTTATTGCATGATGTCATTTTAGTTGATATGATTACCTATTAGGTCAACTCTCCTGATGGTCTTCGTCGCAACAATTCTTCTTCCATGATTTTGCAGTCCTTGGAAAAATCTGAAAATGATAAAGAGAAGCATGTCTCACCTCTCCATGAGTCAAGATCTGCTGCATCTTTGATTAAAGTGGGTAAAGCAGGAACTGACACTACTGTGAAAAAACCTCGACCGAAGCCATCTGAACTACGAGAAATGAACTTTTGGTCACCAACGTCTATGTGAAATGAGTTTTTTCATGCATTCTATAGAAACCTCTATATTTTAACAAGTGTTATAGCTCCAAATGACAGAAAGTATTTTAGATAAGTACCTATATTATTTTTGTGAATGCTCACATAATTTTAAAACATGGTGTAGATGAGATTTGGATGAATGTTCTCCATACTTGTTTGAGCTAGCTCTTCTCCCCCCGCTATGAAATGCTTACCATCAAGCTGCACTTACAAATTACACACCTTCTAAGGTTGTTTTTGTTTTTGCCCTTTTTCTGATTTGGTGTTCCTAAGTACTTACTGAAAGCAGTCACAGTTATGTTTTACTTTCTTTAAACCAAAACACCATTGTTTCATATTATTTCTCCGAGTGGCTGATACTTTATATTGCCTTTTCAAAATTAATTATGGTAGCTTATGCATTCTATAATAATGTGTTAGATTGTTAGATGGAGCTGTTATTCTTTGCTTGCATTTGTGTATTTTTCTGCCCCTTTAAAGCATTTTCTGTTGCTATATTTTCCCCTTGCTCAGAGGAAACCTTTAGGTGTGGGTTCTTTTATGTTAGCACTTTTGTAATCTCTTTAAAAGTAATTATGATTGTGTCCCTTGCCAGGTATGTCTTAAATTCCTTTTTTTACCTTTGGTAAACTATTCGGTTTTACTGAGACCAGTATGGTGTATTTAATACACCTGTCATTTTAAATGACTAATATCCGGTCGAAATATTTTGGCCTGAACTTGTTGCTGTGTGCTTTATAATTTTACATTGAGCTCCATGTTACCAATCATCATATATGTGGACGGAGGCTTTGGTGTTGTGCCACATACTTATATTAGGGTTACTCACCCGCTCATCGTTGGCGGCTAGTTTGTAAGAAACGACGTTTTTATCTGTCTTGTGACTTCAAAAGTTGGCAGATTAAAATAGTGACACTCTTGATTACCTCGATATTTAATTATTTTTTTAAACCCAATCCAGCCTCTAGCGGCTGCCTTTAAGAACCTCATTCGGTTTCGGGTACCGTCATGTGACAAAGCGAGGAGAAGAGAGGAAACGAAAGAAAATCTCAACCAAGAATCGATCTTGAAAGCAGATGATACAAATTTAAGAATATGGCTATGTTCTTATTTTTTCTCATAAGCTGCAACATGTTTGGTGGCCAAGTGGCGTAGAGGAGGACATATACGGGGAGAGCAGGACGGCTGGCGGCGGCGGCCCAGTATTGTTGGGCTTGGCGTGACACTCAGCCAGCGAGCCAGCCGGACACTATTCCTCCAGCGCACAAACATGTGATTTCTGGTTTTTCTCTTAGTTCTCTTTCCTGCTTATCGAGAGTTAAAGCAAGCTGACACCTTAAAGTAACTCATGTATTCTTTATATTGAGTGAAAGTATTTAAGGTATCATCTGCTAAAAAAGAGTGAAACGAAAGAGAAGTACAAAGCTGTTTAGGCTGGGAGAGGAGGGGAGCCTGCAACCTGCCGCCCTGATACTCGAGAGGGAAGGACCAGGCTTCTTCGCGACATGACGGACCGCCCTCCCTCCCTCCGCCTCCCAATTCCATTTCCGGTCGAGCTCGGTCCTTCCTGGTCCCAGAGAGAAAGACAAACGATGGCCAGCGTTGAAACTAAATGGCAGGGCAGACCCTGGCTGGCTCCTGGCTAGACTGCGTATTTCTATGGGTCTTGGTCCTAGCCTCCTCTCCCTCGGTCCACCCCTTCGCCATTCTCAGAAGGACCGACGCGACGTCGGCGACCACGACTTCCACTGCTGCAGTTTACCCCCTCCTTTCCAGACCGCACCCCATCTGTGGGCTCCCCCC